CCCCAAAACCCCAAAACCCCAAAACCCCAAAACCCCAAAGCACAAGACAAATATTGACATAATTTTTCTAAACCCAAATTTGAGAAAACACCTAGAACGGTGTAGCGGAGCCCTTCTTCTGGTTGATGACCATTTCTGCGTCTTCATCGACAACATTTGAAGGTCTGATTTCCTTGAATTCTTCCTTGGGCATTTTCTTCTTCTCTTCCTCTTCTATAAAAATTTTAACCAACACTATACCAGCAAGGATGTCCTGTTGCATCTTGTACTCTTGTCCTTTTTCTACCAACACGCCTGCAGCAGGAATGACAATCTCGACTGGAGGCTGGATCACAACTTTAGGCTCTACAGATTCTTCAGAGGAAAGGACGTCTTCTTCTGGAGCCACTTCTTCGTCATCACCATCGGCTTTCTGCATCTTTTTCCTCACTCCTCTACAGCAGAAGGGGCACAGCTTAAAGAAGAACTCGAAAATCCAATGAGCAATAAGAAGGATGATGTTTAAAATGATCAGTCCGATTATCGCCCTCATACAGTATTGAGCGAATCTGTAGTACCTCTCATCAGGCATATGCTCCCATGTGAACTGAAAATGCAAGCCTACTAGTACCATGCCTCCAATATCATTCATGCCTGAGTGAAACATTCTGATATAGAATCTAAAAGGTCTGACAAGGACCAACCAGACAAAATTGAGAATAAGGATTCCCAAGAGCACAATCAGCTGAATTACAGGACTTTTCACAAACAAAATAACTAGTGCAAAAATGATCCTTCAAGCACAGAATTTCCAGAAATAGAAATACTGAATAGATTTATACACAGCAAATTCATCAAAGAAGACTTCTGAGAAAACGAAGCTCTTTCGTTTCTGGTCCAGACTCATCTTCTTGTACGCAAAGGCCCACCAAGTGTGAATTACTGGGTATGCCAAAAATGCAAAGAAAAAGATCACCGACATTAAGGTGGAAATCTGGTTAATATTTGTACCAACATGGAACTTCAACAGGTTCACGGTCGAGAAAAGGAAGACCTTGAGATACAAAACCATGAAGCCTTTATAATACATATGCCACTTATAGAGCCTTAAGGTATGCTTATAGTAATTCCATTCCCTGCAAATTTCAGCTAAAATAGTGACGATACCTAAGAAGAGCAACCCGTACACCCATCACATCAGGATATCAGCAGTGTTGTCTAAAAATGACGAATAAATGTAAGCATATCGTTCAAACCTGTAGTTGTATCTTTTCATATCGACCATGTCCAAGTGATGGTACATTCTAGCCATGAAGTTGTCTCTTATTATGTGGTCATACCCATTAACAAGTCCTGTGTTCTTATGATACCACACCAGTCAAGAAGGTAAATAAGCATTGGTCAATGGAATGAAATTTATATATTGCAGAACAAACACCAAACTCCATGTGTACCCCATTGATATCTTGAAAGTAAGGAAAGCAAATATATTTACACAGAGCATGATTATTAGCAAAGCCCAGGTGACATTCTTCAGTCCTTCCGATTCTCCACAAACAGTGGTAGCTTCCATCCCATGAGGATTCACAGTTATATTTTGTTGCCACAGAGGCCAAGTGAACTGTTCTGAGATAGTATGGTTCGGGTTCAAAATGTTAAAATAAATCGTCTCAAGTCCTTCTCCAAAGAACTGTACTGATTCATGCCAATCTAAAGTAATGTTAATGTCAACAACATGTTCTGTCAGTCTAATTTCATCAAAATTTTCAATGTGCCAATCTAAGAGATAATGATCCCTTGGCCCTTCAGCATATATTTCCCAGTCGTTAAGTGAAAAATTAGCTAAGAACAGCAGAGAAGCATTCACTTTGAAGTTTAAGATCCTGTTATCTTCTGATAAACTATAGCCTGTAATATAGGGAATTTGTGGCCATCACGAGTCAGGAGTGGTACTATTTCCATAAGATCACCTCCATCCTACTTCTACTTGTCATGTACTATCGCAACCATCTCCATTGACTAAATTGCCGTCATCTCAATCAAAATATTCAAGATTCCTCCCATCACCACAGATTTCTCTTCAGATATTGAAGTCATCGTTTTCCTGAGGTTCGATTGGACACTCGTATCCAGTTTCAATTTGTCATGTTGAAGATCACCCATCTCCATCTCTTGGGTTGCCATCATCTCAAGGTAATATTCCAATATTTCTTCCATCCCCACAATTCTCTGTGCATGTATCATAATGAGTGGCGTTACCTCCACTACAAGCCATACCAGTTTCGATTATGCAAATATGATCGCATCCATCATTGATATAATTGTTATTTATCATCACATTGCTTATCGCCCATGTTTTTGCCATCTCCTCAGATCTCTTGGCAAACGTCAAATCTAGCTGGTGTTCCATAATCTCAGAGCCAGCCTACCTCAACTTGACAAGTTGATGAACATCCATCATCATTATTAGAATTTTCATCGTCTCATTGTTCCACTTTTTGCCTCAGACCATCTCCACAAGAAGCTGAAACACAGGTGTCTAAATATAAGGAAATTTGAGATTACCTGATCCTCCTGCACCTCCTCCAGTGCAAGAAGCTCCTGCTTCAATCTGGCAGATAGCGTCACAGCCATCGCCTGCTACAGTGTTACCATCATCACATGCTTCTGCTCCCAATTTAAGCCCATCGCCACAAATGGGAACTCAGGTATCTGCCTGAATAGTATCTCCTCCATCACATCGATAGCCTGCTTGAATAACGCATCCTACACAGCCTGCATCAGTCGAATCTCACTGTTCACCTGGTTCCTTCCTTCCATTGCCTCATTGGCCCAGGGCCGATGCTACACAAAGAAGGAAGATCAATCTATAAAGTATTATATTGATCTAAATTCCTCGAAATTTTATCTCTATCATTTTGGAATAAGCTTAAAGATAGTTCTAATAATGAATCAAGCCTTTTCTTAACACTTTCATGACTGGAAATATGAAAGAATCTTGGTAAAATATCTACACCATTTGCACTTACAATTTCGTCTTCATATCCTTTCAATATTATTATATTTCTTTGGGGTTTTGGGGTTTTGGGGTTTTGGGGTTTTGGGG